GAAAACGAAGTAGAAAACTTACATGCAATGAATTAGTGTTATTAGCCACTGCTTCATTTTAAATGCATGGTTTCTTGACATCAGGCATTGTTTTTCTCAATACACAGTCCTTTCCTTTAAATTTATTTTAATATCAATCCCACATTGTATTATATCAGAAAATATTGTATACCCATGCTCTTCAGATATAGAAACCCAGAACCCAAAACCTGTATCAAGCAATTTCTCTGTCCATGCTACATCAGCATACATGTAAAGCTAGTGGCAGACCCAGAACGCGTAAGGAGTGGGACACAAGAATTGAAGGAAGTACAATGAACACAGAGCACTTTCATCTTGAAGCCTAGTCAACATTACAGAGCTAATTACTTGAATGCTGGCATCACAAAACTTACATAACACAAATTTCAAATGTCAAAATAACAGTTTTATGCTTATAAGATGAGAAAATTATTTAAATATTTACTGGATAAAAGAAAACTTACCATATTTCCCAATGTATAACTTGCACCATCAGTGTATATGATTCAAAAAGGTTTAGCAAGGGGAAATTAAGATATTTTTTTCCTAATTTTTATTGTTATTTTTTGTTTAGCAAACAAAATCTATCTATTAATTAATTATTACTACATTGATTTTTTAAATACCCCACCCCACAAAAGTACATTCCTGCTCCTGAGAACCTTAACCACAAAGGGATAACCATGATTCTAATATTTACTTCCTTACTTCAGAAGCACAAGATTCACTAACATTTTAAGGGATATTCATGAGGAAAGCAAAATGGGTCTTACACACCAGGAAATATGGTATATGGCAATCTTATACAAATATAGTTACACAGTTTTATGTAAACCCAGAAAGAACAGATTAACATAACCCAAGCTGAGACGACTGTGGTACATGGAAGGACCCCAGCCATCCTGCACACATAGTGAGACAATTTAAGTCCACAGAATACTACATTTCAGGTAAACTCTTATCTCTGTCTTCAGGCAAGGAAAATGGAGATATGCCTCTTAGGTAAAATGCTCACATAATATAAAACATAAAAAACTTCTTTCTGCGCCACTAATTCTTGACAAAGTCTTATAATGCAGACAGGACACTACACAGTCAAGCGTAATCTTTTCAATGCTACAAAAAATATAAATAAACAAATTAAAAAAGGGGGACAAAAAGACAAATCACCAAATTATTACCAAAGTCATTATTGCCCTTACACTGTGTATGATAAGCATAAGACTGCCAAGTGTATCCAGTTTCTAACAATTAAACAATCTTAGAACCCAACAAGTTTTGACATTAACTGGCCATCTTCATGGACAACAAATACTAAAGGAATCCTTACATAATTTATTTTAAAATACTTCATGTAAATTAAGTAAGATTTCCTTTACTAATGATTGCCTCTGAAGATGGCCAATTAAGGTCCAAACATGTTGAGCTGTAAGATTATTTAATCATTAAAACTGGATACATCTGATGGCAACTTCATACTTATCTTGATCATTAAATTCCCTTCACATTAACATTCAAGAACAAACACTTCCAATATTCCTCCACCCCAGTATTATATACCTATCAGAAAGGTTCCATGTGTAAACAATGAATTGCTCTGCAACTTTATCTGTATCTTACATTTATAGTTATTTCCACTTCATGGATCTAATCATCTCCCCGTAGGGCTGGATATAAAACATGTCACATATTACAAATTCATGCTGACTACACATCATTCATCCTTTGTCCAATAAAATATGTAATCAGGCCTCTCACAGCCTTTGTCTACTAGTGCCTTCTATTCTCAATAATTTACAAACAATATGAACCAAACAAACGGTTTCCTTCCAGAAATAAAAGGTTATGTATTCTGAATACTCTAATCTTTATGTTGTAACAGATAAATCAAATGAAGAGTACCCAGTTACCCACCCAACATTCTTATGAAATCATATTCTTGTTAGATATATTTTACAATGTGTGTACAACTATAAGCTTGATGTGAATAAGTAAGTAAAGTCTGAAATTATGACCAGTCAAATTTATCAGCTATTATAATGTATATTCAATTTTCAATGCTAATAGAAAGGCCTGAACAAATTTTAGACATGTAAGATTTGAGGCTTTCACAGCGGTGACTATGAAGAAAGCAGCCTTCTGGGATTTGGCACCGTGTATATGTGGTGTTAACCGACGTTTCGGAGGAACGTATCGCCTCCATCTTCAGGGTAGAAGGAAAAATATAAGAAATCCGCNAGCAAATCATTTTATGCTCACGTCTCTTCTCCATATGTAGTTTCTTAGTTAACTACCAAAGGCAAAACCTAAGGTTGTGGCAGTCACAAAAAAAAAACACTTTTAGCTACAACATCAGTACCAGATCAGAACTGCACAACCTAAATAAATAATCTTAACAATTACATCATTAATTAATAAAATGCTCCGGCAACAAAGTTAGTTTTAATTTTCAGATTTTCTTAGTATCCAAATGTATTATTAACTGACAATACATTTTTTTCAAAAGCTGTTACACCCACCCACCCCTCACACACACACACACACAAAAAACCATAAGAGGGGAGAGGTACCAAAGTTTCACACATTCTTAATCTCTGCATTAGCTGAAGAGACAGCTTCATGTTCTGGCTGCATTAACCATGCTGAATGACTTTCTGGAACCCAACGGAGAGGAGAGTGAGTGGGCCCCAGAGTCAGTCTCAATGCCATGTCAAAGAGACAATCACTGACCCTAATGGGAATCAAACCCTGACTGTATGTTTGCACCAAACCACTCCAGTGAGCTATCCTAGTTCCTAACATATTCATGACAAGACTAAAAATATCTGCTTTATATAAAATTTCCTTTGACATTCTAATTTCCTGAAATTGAAATGATCTATCTATTTCTTAAAATATTCCCTAATTCAGGATTTCCAACTCCTGGATTCATGCCTAAAAGCCCCCCCCCCATTCCTGCTATGGGGTGCAAAAGATCCAAATTCTTTGTTAACACGCTTTCATGTACACATGGTTTTAAATATTTGCTTTTAAATCCATAATACATTTACGAATCTGTACCATGCAGCAACATGTTAACATGTTCAGGATTTCACTTACTGACATGCTGACAGCATCTAGAAACTGAGACACTGGATATGGTAAGATGAGAAATCTGAGGTAACAGCCTACATTACAAAGGATAATATAATTAACAACACAGTAAATAATACACAGTATTAATCAGTGGGAGGGGAGGTAATGCAGAGGTTTAAATAAAACCAAGTTTAAGTCACCATTCTGCTATACTCAAAGTGCCCAATATGTGCAATATGGTCAATGTAATTCAGTCCTAGCCCTCTGACAGTATCACAAATAAGTGTTTAAATTTCATGAATAAATAATTAAAGAATTCATGAGTCAGCTTCTACAATACTATATATAATCATATCCTAGAAAATAGTCCTAATCAAGAATCTTTCTTAATGTAACCAAAATCCTTCCTACGTTGTGTCCATAATATATCAGAAGTTTTATTTTGAACCTACTCTAAAATGAAGACAGTATGCTCCTCTGAAATGTTGGTAACAGCCTACAAGACTATGCAGTGTCAAAACCCAGAAGACCACAAAATGAACAATCAGAAAATTTGCAGTCTTAAGTTAAATCACTAAATAATGGGAGACTTCAATGAAAACTATGAAAAGGTTGTATCCTAATGTGTTACTGATAAAAAATATTTCAGTACCCAGCCCACCAGAAAACAAAGAGTATGCATTTTGGAAAAGTGGCTTTTAAGTTGGATCAATTTTTTTCACAGTTTATGGCCTATAATACTTCATAAAATACAACAAAATTAAATAGCTATAGGACACTGCAGGTGTAGAAAATCTAAAGAACAGAATGAAAAACAGTAGCCATGCCACTTTCCTGGTACTTCGGGGTTTTCTGTACACTAACTAATAGCATTTTATATGTATGCTGAGTTTCAGATCTCAATGGCAGTGCGAAGCAGGATGGTACAGCGGTAACACTCCTGTATTCAGGATCTCCTTAGTTCAAATCTCAGCCAGGACACTGGCTTTCCTGACTGAGGCATTCTGTTCTCTTCCTCAATCCCACTCCCTTGCTAAATGCCTGGACAGTACCTCGATTAAGCCACGATCACTTCCTTCCAAACCCCTTCCAATTCATCAATAATCAGTCACGCTACCATCTAACACCACAAAGCCTAGATATTGGCAGGGGAGGGAACCAAAGCTGTCCCTGTAACAGGCCGTGAAGGCCCATAGGGTTGTGAGACGTTGAGGTTCCCACATTATCTATACAATCAGCTCAAAGATGGCAGTAAGGCTGTCAACCTTATGTACTGGCCGCGCTTTACTCCCCAGGAAAATTATTTAATTCCTGGTACACATTTCTGTTAAAGGCTGAGCCGACCCCAGGGACACAGTGCGGCTGGAAGGATTAGGTCAATTGAAAAAAATTCAATGACCTCATTGGGACTTGACCCAGTAACCTTCCTGCTTGTAGAATAGTGCCTCAACCAACTACGCTACTGCGTACCATCTTTCAACAGGATAGTAGCTACCATGTTGTCAATAACATTACACAATTGCACAGCTGACCAAACTTCTGATTGCATGACAGTGCATTTGAATCTATTTCATAATATAAAATCAGTTCTATCACTACTATATCGCATCATGTAGTGCAAAATTCACATAAACGTGTTATGTATAATCTATCCATTTCAATGCTAATGCAAATCCAATTCCTTTTAAAATTTTAAATGATAGCCAATTACTATCTGAATATGGTTTTCAAAGTACTGGAAATGAAGGGCATCAAGTGTAACCTGGAACCTACAGTCCTTCCCCCACAAACAATTCAGTATTTAATATTCATATTTAGAAAAACACTGAAAGAAACTATGAAGAATGCAAGACATGACTGTTTCTCATTGAAACTAAAGTTACCCACAAAAAAAATCTGCTTACTTCATGTGCTTCAGCCGCTGCATGAAGCGGTGTTTGTGACGGTGAGTGCGGAACTTAGGGTTCTGTGTAGCAAGGGGATCAAACTGATTCATGTTGACAAGGCCATCATCTGGTAAAACTGTCTCAACCCACACACGACAGATGTTATCACGACAAGATGTCACCAGCATATTGGAGACAGAACCCCTGCAACACAAAATTTAATGTCAGCAACGTTCCTTTGATGTTATGTAACATGTAGAATTGAATCTACATTAATATACTCCATTTATAATGTGAACAACTCTCAGGATGAAGAGGTAACTTATTACATTAAAATGTAATCACAAACAAGAACAAAAACAAAAAAAGAACTCTATGGGTTTTAGTCTACAAGCAAACTACACTGACCGAGCAGCTGCCACTTGTCAGCGAAATTAGTGCCAACTTTTGCAGATGGAGGGTGTCACGTGGTCAGTGTAATGGATTCCCACAGCCATTAATCTCGGTTTTCTAGACCAGAGCCACTACTTTTCCATTCATTCAAGTAGCTCCTCAGTTATCCTCAGGAGGCTGAGTGGAATCCATTCCAGACCCACTACTTCTCAGGAAGTGTTGTAGTGCTGGGAATCGAACCCGGAACCTCTGGATCTGTAGCCAGGAACTCTGACCACTAGACCACAGAGGTAGCCAAAATGTAATCACTTTAAGCATAATACCATACTTCCCTATGTATCAGACACACCAATATGTGTAAGATTAATAATGGTACGAGAAGGAGAAACTAAGTAATATTTTTATCATGTAACACTTCTTATTTAATAATTAATTATAACAAAACTGTTTATTTATAAATGACTTAACTGTGGTTCTGTTATTTACATACCTCATCCTCATCATTACTTCCCACTACGACACACCAGTATACAAAACACACTGAAATATTTAGGGTAATTTTCAAGGGAAAAAAACTGTCTCTCATACAAGAGGGATACATTTTCACTGCAATACACAAACAAAAAAAAAAATTATGCACTGACAGAAGTGTTCATTCTTTCCCCAGGTTAAAGAACAATAAAATAATTAAACTGCACAATGGGGTTGGAGTAATAAAGTATGACGTGTCAAGAAATCCAGCTATTACAAGTACAACATCCCCACATTGCCACATCTGTAACACACCTGAACTTCTCATGAGAAAACACGCAATTAGATTTGTCACAACTTAATAATATAAGACGGTATTCACATACTGGGAATTATCTGTAACTAAGCCCATTCTTTCAATAGAGCTGGTAGCTGCAAAAGTTAAGGACAGCCCGTCATTACATAAATGTTCTATACAAAACTTTCCTGTGGAGTGACTTCATCTAAAGCTGAATGACAGGAAGTTAAAAAGAAGTATCAAACTGAAATCTCATATGGGTTTGAAGCTATAGAAAACTTTGATAATAGAATGCACACTTCAGACAGCATTAAAAATATTATCAAAACTTTATTATGAGTGAAAGCATCAAAAACCTTTATTTCATTAAGAGTGCTCGAAATTACTAGATCATGGGAAGCAGGCTAAATTGCATTGACCGAAAATTCCAAGCAAATGAATGGAGATTNTAAATCTATATGGGGTTAAAGTGAATGGAATAAAGCCATAAGCATTAAATTAAAATTAAATTCGCTTAGTGCGGGGTGGAGTCCAACCAGGTCCACTCGGCACGGTGGCCACTGAATGGCCTATTGTAGCCTGCCCCGGGTGATTACAATAATGGAGAATTTGGTGGAATGATGATTTGAAGAGGAAACCCAAGTACTCAGAGAAAACCCGCCCCAGTGCCACTTTGTCCACCACAAATCCCACTTGACCAGACCAGGGATCAAACCCGAGCCACCGCAGTGGGGAGCCAGCAACTAACTGCTTGAGCTATGGCGCAGCCAAGCCATAAGCATAGACAACAGTGAAGACCCACAGCAGTAACATCAACCCTTTCACTGCTACTATGTTAAGTAACTCTCAGTACCCTCTGTGCTGAATTATTTTTGAACAAATCTTTTATAGATAATTTAAGTGCAAAGTATGAAAATTTGTGATAAAATGTAACTAATCTTACCTCAGACAGGGAACAGGCATCAGAAGTTGCAAAAATGTTGAATTATTCAGTATTTTTCACAGGGGAAAAGTCTGTTTAAATCAGGGTTGTCCAAGATGGCCAAAAAAAGTACATAATTCACTGTCCTAGTCTTATCACTATGTCACATGTTGACCAAAGTCCACAACTTTATTTAAAACTATCATAGAAAGCACTGCATACTATACAAAGCCATTTTTACTAGCCCTGTGAAATACACGTGTCACATGACCACGGAGCATGTGCCTCACTGTGCAGATGCAACCTTTTACATTTCTTATGCTAGAGGGCATAAGAATGCAGCCATTGAATGATGCTTCATTACGTTCCCAATAGATGAATCTATGCACCCGCCAAGTTTGAATGAGATTGGGGCAAAGAAACTGAGATTTGAAATTCTAAATTCGCAATACAGGGTTTGTCGATCGCAGCAAGGCCGCCATGTTTTTCAGAGATCAACATATGTCGACCACAGCAGTGTAAGGGTTAACATAGTAAGATTAACATAAAAAACAATATTACTTTCAACTAATAAACTGTCAATTAAATGTTTAACCATGCACAGACCACAGTAATATGACTCTCAGTAGAGCACCCCATACAGCATATTTGAAAAATAAATTTCAGAAGCTCAAGAATTACAGTGAACATACAAATTGTGATGAAGTACTCACTTTGGCATGTATTTACTGGTTTTTCTCCATGACAAGTTGGTGACTGCCCGTGGGTGTGCAATGTATACAAAGCCATAGTTGATTTCATTTATAGTGGATGGGCCACCATATGACATAGAATGATCCACACTTTTTGATGGAAACAGCACTAGAAACCAAACAATCATCACAGTCAACAACAAAAGCATAATTACCTGCCAGAATAATAGCTAATTATGGTTCATCCAGATGCACATACACCTCAGCTGGGGGGAAGAAAACTGGTTTCAGATATTCATTAGCAGAAAACACTTCTCAACAAACCAAACAAAATGTTTCACTACTGATCAACATGTGTCACAAGAGCACAGCGCCTTAATAAGATGCAGCCACAACCTTGTGGAGCCCCTTCACATTCACTCCGTCTGTCCACACGAAACACAAAGAGAAACAATGAACAGATTTTCACAAAATTTTATATACAAAAATAATAACTAGCTTTGTCAATACACAATAATTCTGGTAAAAATCACGCACAAATAATGGAGACTTTACATGAAGACTGATGGATGTTATACATCCTTTTGTGGAACATGCCTGGTAAGTGAACACAGTATAATTTTACAGTCTTGTTTCAATATTAACACAGTCAACTCTCCTTTAACGGAATCTGTCCAAACCCTATATTTACATTATTATGAATGTTTGTAAAAATAAAAGCATAATATCAGCCTGAAGTAATACAAGAATATATAAGATACCTATACAACATAAGATACCTTTTGCATAATAAAATTTGTCCTGTGAGAGGTTATTGAACTTCACAATCTGGTTCTTAAATTAGATGAATACAACAATTAAAACAGAAATACTTTGCATTTACTCTCCTTAATTTTTCAGTCACAGGTTACATATCTTAAAAAGCAAACACAGTATATAATAATTCATGAGTGAAAAGTAGTCCAGACTGCCACAAAGCTGTTATTTATACACGTCAATCGGAATTCCTTACAGAAAGGGAAGTAACTCAATACAGGTTTGTCTTCGTACACAATTCTCACTGGGCTCCAAGAATATCAATAACTAGTATGTATAGGCATAACACATGTTTTGAAAAAGAAATATGATACTGAAGACTTCCAACAAAATTTTGTCACTCTCAAAATTAGACTTACAGTGAAAACATGGAACTGAACAGTGAATATTGCGCATTTTAGTGGACCAAACTTGAACTGTAGTATATCCAAAGCTGTGAAATTATAAGGCAACATTAATTCAGATTGCTTCTTACTCAATTCAATCAAAGATTTTAATTTACAATAATTCGATCACTTTCACTCTAATCTAACAAAATCATGTATGCTAATATGAACTTGAAAATTACAGGAATAATAAAAAAGTAATATAACCATTAACATTTCACCTCCACATTTTTCAACCACTGACTTATCCTTTTCTTTCTTTTTGCAGATAATGAACTCGGTATTTCAGGCTTTACTATTTTCCTTGATTTTGTACTAACTGTTCAATATTTGTTCTCTGAACAGATGAGAAAATTCAAACAGCCAAAGAACATATAATACACATATATTTAGTGTGCAGACAAAATCGAAGGAACTGGAAACAACTATATTTTTCTCACAGGGATACTGGGTTTTCGGACTTTATCCATCGTCCTGGTTTTTTAAGATAACTAATAAAAACACGACGTTTCGGAAACTGGATCTGTTTCCGTCCTCAGGTGAGGGAAAACACCTATTCTGTTGGGTCCCTTAGAAAGAGCTAGCCTCAATCACTGGACGTTTTCCCTCACCTGAGGACGGAAACAGATCCAGTTTCCGAAACGTCGTGTTTTTATTAGTTATCTTAAAAAACCAGGACGATGGATAAAGTCCGAAAACCCAGTATCCCTGTGAGAAAAATATAGTTGTTTCCAGTTCCTTCGATTTTGTCTGCACACTAAATATATGTGTATTNGCAAGAAACAAAACAAAAAATAAAATAAAATAAAACAAAGTCACCCCAGTTATATTTAGGCCATGACATCAAACCATACTCACAGCAGTAATGTGACACACTGAACCAGTGTAACACTAATGAAACTTACACTGCTTATTCTCAAACCATATCTTAACAAGACGATCAGATTTTCCGGCCGTAGCAAAGAGAGTGCCATCTGGAGAGAACGACATGTGGAAAACAGGTGTTGCAGTGTGACAACTCCATACACACTCCCAGCCTCGATCGTCGTCCTCCTGACCAGATGGTTGCTGTGGCTGAATCTCATCTCCAATTTCAAAAGTCACGCCTGTACCTTGCGCTGGAAACACAGACATATTGGTTACTTTGTCATAACCATCATTCAAATCATATCAGGCCCAACGCTAAAGTTCATATTTATATGAGTGGTATATGTTACAATTCATACATTCAAGTTAAGGAATTCAGCACTTTCAGAAATTACAAAATTTATGATACATGCCATAAATTCACCCTTGTGGTAATCTGGGACAAATATTATTTTCTTAAATACAAACTGCAAAACAACAAATCTGGTCAAAACTGTTTTTTAAAAAAATTATTATCTGGCAAGAATTTCAGATCACATATTCACATGCATTGGTGACATAGCAGGATGCATTGCTCGGCACAGGATAGCCTATGTGGATGCATCAGTGATATGAGGGTGGGGGAATCTGGTTGCAAGGTTACTGCTATTCCTGTCTTTTCAATTGTACATTATATTTAAGACATCAGGGAACATGAACTTTTAAAAGCGTTTATAAGTTTACTTTTGCATACCTAGTAATATTTCCACTGGGTAATAAAGTATGTTTTTACTGCAATGTAGACTGAAAAATTTTCTGTACAAACCATCTATCCTTACAACATGACAGTTAACAGCAAAATAAGATTCATATTATGGAATTTCAAGATACAAATGCATTTTCAAGAACACACAGCTTCTGTAATGCAGAGGCATGCTTATTATACTGAATTCATAATGTGAAGCTTGCAAAGAATCAATATAACATTGATGTATGGTTTTTAGTGTGTGGGACAATCAGTAAATAGTTCATGAATGGAAGGAAAACATCTATAATGGACATAACAGGTTTTCTATGTGTATCACTAGGTAGCAGCACAGTCCAGTTTTATGAAAGTCTGCATAGCAGACATGCATGCGCGTGTTCAGATGCTGGTTTCAGTAGTCAAAATGGCGACCGTGCTTGAGGAGTATACTACCAAAGTTCAGAGTTCTGTTGTGCATTTCTTGTGGGCAAAAGGACTCAATGCAAAGGATATTCATAAAGAAATGTTTCTCATTTTATGGTGGGAAGTCTCTGTCGTGTGAACTAGTTCAAAACTGGGTCAAGAAAGTCTCTCAAGGATGTTCAAAAGTTGCAGATGATTCCCAAGCAGGTCACCTTGAATCAACTGCAACAGAAGCGACTGTGAAACGGGTGGAAAGAATTGATTCAAGCTGATATGAGGATAATGATAGTGTAGCAACTGCACTAGGGAGTTCCTATGGTATAGCATATGGCATAATGCATGGTCATTTGAAGTTTCACAAAGTGTGTGCACCATGAATGCCCAGAGAACTGAAGGATAAAAAAGAAATCAAAAGAATGGATCTGTCCATGCAAGATCTCTTATGGTATGCAGATGAAGGAAAGATGTGCTTAACAGAACTGTTACTGGGGACGAATCTTGGATACATCACTACTAACCCAAATCAAAGTGTGCTTCAATGCAACAGAAAGATCCCAGTTCACCTTCATCCAAGAAGTTTAAGGTTCGCCATCAGCTGGGAAGGTTATGCTTAGGGTGTTTTGGGATTCCCAGGGAGTACTGTTAGCCCATTTTCAGAAGCATGGTGCATCATACTGTGAAGTTCTGTTGAAGCTTTGGGATGCAATTCGCAGAAAACGTCCATGCCAACCGGCAAGAGGGGCACTGCTTCATCATGACAATGCCAAACCCCATACAGGCCCAGCAAACCAGGAGAGAATTAAAAAACTACAGTGGGACCTTCTTGAACATTTGCCTTACAGCCCAGACCTGGCCCTTAGTTACTTCCATCTGTTTGGTCTGCTGAAAAACCACCTCAGTGGCAAATGTTTCACCGATGACAAGAGGTAGAAATGGAGAGAAAACAGCCAAAAGACTTCTATGCTGCAAGCTTTGACACACTGGTAAAGCGATGGGACAAATGTATCAATGTTGGTGGAGGATATGTCAAGAAATAAATGTTTCCTTTCAGGTTCATATATCACAAGTTCTACATTTTATATCCATTTGTGGCCTATTTACTGACCCTCCCTCATATGTTCAGGATGTGTTCATATGTCTTGTTACCAATGCCACCTCAATCTGAGTATGTTTTACAGCAAAACTAGTGTAATACTCTTTGAGAATTCAACAGAAAGTCTATTAACACTTTGCAGACCGCGCACGCATTAATACGTTTTTCGCTTTTAAATGTGGCGGATCGGTCGCGTATTAATACGTTTTTAGAACACGATAAGTTGCAACACACTATACATCGCTCTGGACCCACCTACATTGCACGCAACCGCCTGCAGATGCGTGATAAGATTCTGGAATGTTTAGTTAGCAGTCAGTAACTTGACCTCGCTGTTTACTTAACCGACTATAAAGGGAAATGCTTTGCCTTCTTCAAGCTGTGTGTATCAGCCAGTAGCTGGTGGGGAGAATGGATCAAGGACAAATTCTCCTCCGATGACCTAGCTGACCTGCCTTGTGAGATGCGTAGTAATGGATTGTCATTCAGACAGCAACAGTGATGGGGGACAACAAAGAATTGTGGCCACAGACAGTAAAAGTGACAGTAGCTCTGACGATAATGCCGATAATAACATTGCACGTAGTAACATTGCGGGGGGACAGCAAAAAATCTAAACCCTGATTCAAAATTGAAATACAAAGCATTTCTGATGAATGTGGCAAAGGCCTGGGCTACAGTCCAGATGGTGGTGGCAGAACCAGGGTCACATAAAGACTTAGTACAACCGGGCCCATCAACTCCCACCCCACGAAGGCCTCATGTGGACCCCCCAGGGTGACTCTCGAGTGATATGCGGAAAAATACCCTTGCAAAAATTGTGAAGAGTAAACATTCCAAGGGGAAGAATCCTTCTAGGCAATGCTGTGTTTGCACAGTTCACAAAAAAAGGAGTATGTCTACATTTGCAAGTTCTGTGTAATGCCACTTCACAAAGGGGAATGTTTCCAGAAATATCACACCCTCAAGCACTTCTAGGAGCACTGGTAAGTGTTCTCTAATAATTTTAGTTCAAAAAATTAATTAGGAGATTTTATATTAATTTTTAAAGTGAACAGTGAATAAGTTAGGGTAGTATGTTTAAAAATGCTGGTCCCCAGGGTGATTTAAATACTTAAATCGCTGGTCTGGGAAGTGTTAATACAACAAACAAACAAAAAATTATGGTACAGTATAATTATATTAAATTTTATGCACCAACACAAAGGTGAGACTGCAGTAATATCAATTTATACATAAGCTAGTGGTAACCATTTAGCACTTTCACAAGTGTCACAAGCCAACATATTGTTGCGTATAGACCTGCTGCTAAGCAGTGACTCTGTAAACAGCAGACATTGCTAGGCAATGCCTGAAACATATACACACATAACAATGGAACAATGGGGTTATGCAACCCATTTATAAGCAACGGTTTAGTAAACATGTTTCCATGGCAACAGATATCAATGCAACAACAGAAGAACAGTGTTTTCTATGTGGTCTATGCTGAGATGTTATAAGCTGGACAGTTTGAAGCAACGACTTAGCTGTTGGGAAGAACTGCCAGCAGTTCAGCTGAGTGAGGTCACATGAAGTAGCTGGTTGGTGATTGAGAGATTTCAGTTGTCAATTGTCAGTTGAAAGTCAGCCTGTGAAGAGGAGACTAGGAGGTTGGTATGAAATGGCCACCAGCCTGGGACTCAGTTAGCTGAGCTGTCAGTTGACAAGAGGACCTGAGTGCAAGAAGCTGAAGATCTCCCTCGATAGAAACCGTTGCCAGGAAACAGCTAATGGAGACTGTAACAGACTGGGGACACTAGTCTGTGTGTGTCAGTGATCTGTAAAGTGTAGTTCTGAGTGGTGTATACAAATGTTCAATAAATCCATTATCCAATTAATACCCTGTCTATAGCCACAACACACCCTAAATCATGACAATATATAGTGATAAAACTGTTATATTTCCGGACATATCCATTGTCCTGTTTCTATTCAAAACACAATTTTTCAAAGACTGGATTTGGACTAGCTCTATCGACTGGACATAACTGAGTAGATTCCACCTGAAGACCAAGACAGAATCCAGTCTCCAAAATACTGTGTTTTAAATAAAAACATGACAGTGTTTTAAACAGGATGATGAATAATGTCCAGAAGCATAATAGTTGTATTAATATACTATTATCACAAAGTTTTAGATCTTATACAAATCCACTTGGTCGTCAACTTACGACCGACTTCTGTTCTGACTGACAGGTCATAAGTCGATCTGGCCGTATGTCAGCCATATATTTGTTACCAGTTTTTTTTTTCATCTTTATAATTTATTTTAAAAAACTTCTACCTTTTAATCATCTTTTATTTTTCATTATTTTGTGGTCATAAGTGCGGCCGGTCGTAAGTCAACAACCAAGTGTACTGGCTTTTACAAACACTGAATTGATAGGTACACTGTATAAACTATAAATATAACTTAGTATCAAATGATGAACTGTAATATTATTATGGTTATAGGGATGAATTTTAATAAAGCTGCTGTAACATATTTCCTGGTACTAACTTGGAATTTTCCTGATGAACTGGGATAAATAACAAAAGAATCCCAAAATATCCCATCTGGTTGTGACTTCTCAACAAAATAACAGATGAAGTCTCTAGCAGAAAAGACCATTTGTGCCTAAAGCATCAAAATGTTAACAATACAAGGTGTGGCAATTAAGTTCCAGGACTGGTGCACATCATTCCCACTAGGTGAAGGTGAAATGAACTACTGCAAACTAAGTGTATTTCTACATCTTACCAATAACTAGCAGCAGTTAGCAAGTCCAATCACTGACAGTTCATGAGTAGCTGCTCAGTGAGTTGTGTTTTTAACAGCTGTCACTTTTTTGTACATGGAACAATAAGTGAATACCAGATTTTGTTTTAAACTGGGTAAAACACCAAGAGAAAATTATGAAATGTTGCGAACTGCCTATGGTGATGAAGCCTAAAGTTGTAGAAGTGTATCTGAAGCATTTAAATGATATAAAGATGAGCAAAAGAATCTGCAGGATGACTGAAGAAGCAGGCATCCTTCAACCTCTCAGAATGGAGCCAAAAATGTCTGTGAAATGCCTATATGATATCATCAATGGGCTCCCAGACTGATGTTGGATGAATCAAACATCAATAAGGAGATGATTCATCAAATCCTCCAGGAAGATTTATGAAATAAGAAGCTCTGCACAAAATTTGTTCCACACGGACTTATGGATGAGCAGAAGCAATGGAGGCACAACTCATGCCAAGACTTCATTCAGACTTGTCAAGACAATGCCAGTTTTCTTGATGCATTTTTCTCTTTTCTAGGGTGAAAACTGCCCTCAAAGAAGGAGGTTTCAGAATGCTGAATATGTTGAGAAAAACATGATGGCTGACCTGAAAACTATTCCTTTAGAGGGCTTTGCTGACTGTTTTGAAAAACTTTTTAAATGATTAAACAAATGTAGTCAAGTATGCAGAGATTACTTTGAACAGAAACATACAATTTTTAATTACCTTCATTTTTTATTTCTATTTCACACCATACTGGGAATTTTACTGCCAGACCTTGTACAATCAATAAACCATAGCAGACAAAGAGATAACAAACAATAGAGATTTCAGTAAATATATTGGAAGAGAAAGAGCGTAAGTTCAATATAAAGAACCTATTATCAAAATAATGAAAGTCTGTAAGATATATAAAAGCAAAACCTGTCTCTGAATCATCCTCCATCAAAGCAACATGCTGATGCCAAAGTTGCAGAATTTCCCCACCAGTGAGCAGACGGGTTCCTTCTAGGTTCCATGACAGTGAACTGATGTGTGATTCTGTCTGCAAGCTACCTGTCTGCACCCATCTGTAATCCAGTTGCTGTACAATAAAACAAAACAATGCTCATATACTGCGCACATGATACAACATTATCATTTCAAATGTTCTGTTTAACATTATGGCTTCGTTCTGGCCAGATCCACAAGGCCACACAAGTCCATGCCCAACACGCATAGCAACCCTGAAGCTTCAGGGTTAATGCCCTCCCATTAACCTTGCCTTTCTCCTCCGACACATATTCTATACCTGCCCTAACCTGCTGCCCCACCTCCCCAGACCCTTTCCCTCTCCTCTCTACTGATTTCCCATGTAACCCCTCTCCCTTCTCTTCCTGCTATTATATAGCGGGGTTGTTCTGGACATTAGTCTATTTGCACCTGCTCACACTGGTTCTTCGCTTGCGGATTTTCTTCTTTTTCCTTCTACCCTGAAGATGGAGGTGATACGCTCCTCTGAAACGTCGGTTAACACAATACATACACAGCACCATATCCCAGAACACTGCTTTCTTCATTAAAAAGTGTATGTTTAAACTTATCGAAGGGCTGCATTTCCATTATTTTTACACTGTGGTGTGCATACGTTTTGAATGCGCAAAATATGAAGATATATGGATTACAATTTTTCCTTCTATATAAGATGAAATGAACACATGCAAAGTATGAGATTTTTTTTGTTCCTTGCTTATTTATTCTCTTTGTTTAATGATCATTTTAATATCTGACTTGAATGATAAGATGAGAAGTGAATAATGAACTACAAAGGCAATGGAAAGTGAAGTCATGACTTAATTTCAGGTACTATTCCAGATTTTGCATGGCAGGACTGAGGATAAAAAAAAAGTCAGGACAGTTTCCAGGTTGCGATTTAAACCCAAGACCTCCAAAATATGAAGCAGTATATTCTGTTATTTTTCTATTTGCAAAATGTTTGTGGTTCTAATAATATATCTTTTTTTTTTTCCCCAATGGCCCTGTCTTTATCTAAACATGGATGAATTTCATTTCAGTTAAGGTTACAGTGCAAAACAAGTAGCTTAATCCCTCCAGAGCTGACAAAGAAGCAATTAACTATTGCTTAGTATTAAGATTACACTTCAATAGCATATACAGGGTGTGGCGCAGAAACTTCCTTTTTTGAAGGCGAATAAAAGAAAAATTATTGCTGATAGACAAAATTTATGTCTAGCTAATGAAAGAACATACTTTAAAGTTTTAAATCATGTAGTTTTAAACAAAATATCTTGAAGGTGGTGGCCACCGTTCTCTATGCACTGATGCAACCGTTTTCTGAAGTTTCCCTCTGCACGTTCCAACATGTGCACCGGAATTTGGGCTACTTCCTCCGGAATAACATTCTTCAGCTGAAGCAGGTTTGTGGGGCGATGTTCAAAAACCTCTGCCTTGAGGTATCCCCATAAAAAAAAAATCGGAGGGCGTTAGATCAGGTGAATGCGCTGCCCACGGGATGTCACCTCGAAGCGAGATGAGCCATCCGGGCACCATTGCCCTCAAAACTGTCATCGAAGCTTGAGCTGTGTGGACCGTGGCACCATCCTGTTGGAACCAGACATTTCCTAGATGCATTTCTTCAAGAGCTGGTTTGAAAAAGATCTCAAAATCAACTGACGAACTGCCTCCACATTTTCTGGCGTCGTAATGGACCACTGTCATCCTGATGATTTTTTCACCACACTCCTGGTTGTCCTAAAGTTCTCTACCCACAAAACAATCGTTTTCCGGTCGGGAACCGGACCTTGGGGCTTAATTCCAAAGTGAGTACGGAACGCATGCTGCACTGCCACATAGAAATGGTTGTTTGAAAAATAGGCTTCGACAGCAAACGCACGCTGCTCACTCGTCCACCTCATGTTTCCTACTGAGGGGTATTAGACAGAAACNTGTTGTTGTTGTTGTTTTGTTTTGTTTGTTTGCTTCCTTATATGCATTAATGTGTTTTTCTTCCAATGCTTACCTTTAAATAGTCTTTGACTTTATGTTGTGTTTGTCCAGTATGTAACTACATTTATCTACACTGTGCTGTGTCTGCAATTGGCCTTGCAGCTGTTGGCTCAGCATATAAATAAAAAGGAATTTAATTTAATTTAATTCAATTTAATTATTACGACAGTTCTTTTCTCTTTAACATTCTGCACAGCAATTGAAGATTACTATTACTACTGATAATTTCTGCTACTTCAATTTCAATTAAACAGTGGATTAATCTGTATGGCTAATGTGGAAAATTTTTGGAATCAATGAATTTAATCTCTGTTCTAAGACACTTGTGATAATGGATACTGTCATCACTTTCTCTTTCACAACACACATGCTCAAATGTGTACTGCAAACAGTTTCAGAACTTTCAGTTTTAGGTAATGCAATGGATTATGTTTTAAGATCTAAATAATTTCACCCTGTGAATATTCAATTGTTTTATTAGTTAAAGATGGATGCATAATACCAGAAAAGCTGAATACGAATGATTTATTTATTGCCCCAGTAGCTCGAAAATATTCATTGTTTCTAATAGTAAGACAAAACTGTCACATGTGTCCAGCAAGCAAGTCTATACAGTACAAGGTGTGGCAATAAAGAAACCGGATTCATGCTCTAACCCTTTATTAAAAAAAATCAGACAGTCGAAATGTTATCCCCTTCAATGTAGTCCCCTCCCCGATCCCTACACCGCTCCATGCGAATTTTCCACTGTTGGAAGCAGTGCTGCAGGTCATCTTGTGTTATGCTCTTCAAGAGTTGCGTCGCTTTTGCTTTCACTGCATCCACGGACTCGAACCTGGTCCCTTTCAGCGCAGACTTGATTTTTGGGAAGAGAAAAAAGTCGCACGGTGCTAGGTCCGGAGAATACGGTGGATGTTCCATCA